ACAAATCAAAATTCAGGGATATATTAGTCACTTATTGCCTCACTATGTAAAATTACAAAAAATTAAAGGGTTATATTAGTAAAAGTGATATTAAAATACCTAAGTTAGCTAGATAATATTTATGGAATACCGGAACCTAGATGATTAAATTATTAATATATTAATATTATTCATCCAAACCTAATTACGAAGCATGATTCTTCGCCAAATAGGATTCCGAAGCACCAGAAGCAGCCACGTAGACTCAGCGCATTCTGAAATTATATATAGGGAGGATAATTCACAAAGAAAGATACATACCAAAATATACATTACATCCAATATGATAATGTAATTTAAAAAAAATAAATATTTCAGCTCCTTTAATTGTAAATTTGGCAAAAATCATTGATTATTATATGCATACAAATAACTCACAATACCTTATTTATATATCTGTGCAAATGCACAGGTCGAATAGTAGTTTACATGGTAATTTCCTATGCATTACGTTTCTCTCCTCTCTCATATCTCTCTCTTCTTCACACGGAGGATATGGTTCTTTTGTTCTTACGTTTTTATTTTTACTTTTTTTTATAGGTTGATGAAAGCTAATGAAAGCATCGATTATTTCCTGAGATCTGTATAAATTGATGAAAGCTAATGAAAGCATCAATTATTTCCTGAAATTTTGGACGATGAAGATTAATGATATTTTTCATCCATGTTAGTGCAACTTAAAGAGGAAAAGGCACAACTAAGTTTGTAATTTTCATCCACATTTTATTTAATTTTGTATATTGCCACTGTTATTGATAAACAGGCGCTACCAAAATCAATAATACTTGGTGAGACAATGATAAAATAATTTATTATTCGCGAGATGATGATACAAGATTTTACAATTCGCTTGAGTGGACATAAACCAAAGCTACATAAACATAAATAAACTTACTACATGTATTTAACATGCACCGAATAATTTACTTACTAATGTGATGTTTAATTTTTGTACCAAGTGAAAGGTTTACCGAGTAGTATGGTGTGACATTTTATTTGTTCATTATTTGTTACATGTACTCACTGAAATGCAGTGGCGAAACCAGCCGGTCATCCCGGGGAGGGCCCAATTTGGCGCGGCGCACTACTCCCATTCCGGCCATCCCGCGGCGCACCACCCCCACTCCGGCATCGGAAGGGCGCTCAAAGGGCTTTTGTGGACGCTCTCAAAAATTTTCGCAAGATATAAATGAATACTTTAGAGATTTTTCTAAAAATCAAACTAAGTCCGGAATTAAACTGGTATACTTAAACTGAATTGTTTTAACTTGGAAAATACTCGAATTTATACTAATAAAAATCCGGACTCAATTATAATAATAATCAAGAATTATACCTCATTTCGAATAGACGAAAAGCTGAAAAATTTGAGAAAACGAAGCCTCGAACGATCGAACTCGTCCTCGACAAATTTGCTCCTTTTGATACTATTTAACGCAGAAATTGAAACTCTCATAATAAATGCTCGAAACTCCAAAAAATGCGAAATTTAATCGTATGGAATCGTGCTTGAATTGTCTATACGCTCCAACTCGATTCTCGTTAAACCGAGGTCACACGCAACCTTACGGAACCCCACAAAACGGCTTTTTATTCTTCTATTATGCGCACTCGACTTCGAGCTTCTCAAAATAAATGCTCGAAACTTTGAAACATGAAATAAATTTTACGAACGACTTCTACTGTTCTCGTGCTTTCAAGAAAGCACTCCCGCTAATTTTTAGCACGCTTAACGAGGGCCGACGGTTACCCGA